GTTACTCATTTAAATCCGGTCATTGCATTTTCATAATTACATTGTTTGTTTTATTCCGTTATTTCGTGTTTGTTGTTTGTGTTAGGTGTAATGTCTGTCTTATGTCAGTTGTAGTGTTAGCTAGGAATAAATGCATGTCTTTTACACAACTTTAGCCTCCGTCATTGTGTGTCTCATAATAAGTTCCTGCCTTTGTGCAATCTTGCTACACGCTCTGAACCTCAAACTCGCCTGAAACATCACCAAGCTCTCTCTCATCGGCTGTGAGGGGGGCTTCGCTACCCATTGTTCACATTACCTGGTGACGCAGCTCGGTGGACGAGCCTTCTAACCCAGGTTACTAAGTGATACTGGTAATTAGTGAATGCCATTTAAGTCTCACATTAACAGACTCACGGGGATACCGCAAAAGAGTTTGGAGGAGCCGACCATTCGGCATAACAATTGATTAATAATCGGCATTAAATAATAATTAATTAAACTTTAATTAATTCAAACATATTGGTGGAGAATATTAAAATTTATTTGAGCTATTAATTCCTACACATGCTTAAATGATCTGTTTGGACTGTAAAATCCTTATGATTCAAAGATGTGTTCACTAGAAGTTTTGAAATAAATAATTGTAAATGATGGGAAACAACAATTTTGATAATCCTGAACTTTAAATTTAAACCAGTTAAATATGTAATTTATGAGGGATAGTTTTTCTAAATGAATCAGTTCATTCAGATCCTGAATCCTCAGATTCAACTCCTCAACTGGTCATTAAAAATCTTTTGGCATAGATCACGTATCATCAAGCCTTCACTTTTATTGAGAGTTGTTTCAACATCATTGCTGATTACTTCTGTACCAATTACCATTTTGTTTTCCAGACACAATTTCCTGGTATATCTCCATCAGAAATCAGGACCACCTTAAGACGCAACAATGAAGGCTACTGTAAGAGCACAATGAAGCCTGGTGCTGATAAAGATGCCTGTTTGAGTGAGACAGAGTGTAACTGGATAAGGAAGGACATCGGGCAGGGATGACACACAGACATGGAATACAAGACAACAAACAAAAATTGAGATTAAGGTAAACAAAACTACAGGCAGAAGGTTCTTGAAGGTCCAGAGAGGGAGTATGATGGTTAAATTAGGTTAGATATGTTAGTTCAGTGACCGTTAATTCATTGATGTTATGCTTGTTATACCCAGTAAAAATTTCTGTGTTAAACAGCTAAAGTGTTTATTGGGTTCTTACAGTATTCATTTGAAACCAGTTGCACTCATAAACACTGTAGGTGTTCATTCAACACTGGGGGTTAAATATGTAATTTATGATATACATTGGACAATTAATTAAGTAACTGGAACAAAGTTCTAAAAATTAGAAGGGATTCCACAATTTTGGCCACTACTGTAATTAAAATCACCACGGTAATTTTAATGCACTGTTATTTTAATAAACAAGCACAAAAGTTATGAATATTCCCAACATCTTATTTTTCAGGTGTATACATGCAGTGAATGTCCTTGGCTAGTGAGTCTGTTCATAGCTGACAGCTGGTTAACGTAACCATCATCCAGTAGGAAAAATTTGCCAGCAGCATACAGACAAATAGGGAGCACTCTGTGTTGTACATTATAATTTTGACAAAAAAAGACCATGAATTTGATGAGTGATTAAGTTTATCATGACACATTAACATACTATTTATGTCTTCTAGTGTACTGAAGTACTCAAGCATTACTATTAGAAATACACGGTTTAAAAGTATGGTTTGAGCACATTTCTTATAAATACATCTTGTATGAATAATAGCATACTCCTGTCCTATTTAAGTCATGTAAGTGCATTTTTAGAAGTCTTTCAGTGACCTTAAAATGTAACACACAGGTTGTATTTAAATATATACCTTTTTAACATATCACAGTGTTTTGAAGAGTGCTACAACTACACATTTAATATTCCTTAAGTACAAAGTGTCCCAAAATAACACACTAAAGTAGCACTTAGTGTATTTATATTACATTTTAGAATACTTCTACTTAAATATACTTAAGTTCAAGTAAGTTGCTCCAAAACAGTGTATTTAGTACACACTAAAGAGTAATTAAAATGTGGACTTTTTTTTAAAAGAAAGTACACTTTAGTACACTTTTTGCACAAGGGGTGGACAAATGCGCTATGATAATACAGTGTGTTATTTGTTTAGGATTTCCAGGTGTGTTTTTAAGGCTCTGAAAAAATAATGTATTCAGTTCGCGATATATTAATATGATTAATGCCCCACCCCCGCTATTTTCTTTTTTAGTTGTGTTTATTTAATGTAATATTTTATTTAATGCTCATTCTTTTTTGTTCTGAGATGGTGGATTTTCGTATGGTTATCTACTAATTTGTTGTATGTGGTATTGTAGTAAATATGTGATTTGTGGAGACCCAGCTATGGTGACGTCTTATGACGTATGACGCCAAGTGCGTATATGTACGTATGAGTCTGTGCGCGGGGATTCATTGAAAACAATGGGACAAACATGATATCTGAATAGGCAAAGAGACACGCTACAACTATGCTGTCAGCTGTCTTGGTTACACTTGTCCTTCGCTGTATCTTAGGCTGTGTAAGCATTCTTTATACTCCTTTGCGCTCTTACATTGAAACTTCTTTGAAAGTATATTTGGCTCTGATAAACCCGGCTGACTTTTTTTTTTTGAGGATTTGGTTATTTTTAATCAATCTCCCTGTTACTAAAATACATGCCGCATGTTTTTTTTTTTTTATTTAACCCGGCTGACTTCCTCGTGTTAGATGTAAACATTAGTGTCACATTCGCGGTGCATTGTGGTCTATGTACTTCCATGTGGTATTTGCAAAAGTGTGGATAAAGTGCACGTCAAGCGCGCTGCACTTGGCTTATTCGAGGAACGGGACACCCTTGAATACTTGCGCACATGAACGCTGCCAAGTGGGAGAAATGAGACAAAGCCACTATTATCCCTGTTGCGATCCATACTTACGTGATTGGGTGATCGTTGCACACGGCACGCTTTTATGTGCACGCGCTGGAGAAGTAATCATGGCTTCAGTAAGAAAGCCTGGCTAGACATAGATTGCTTATAGGCAGCGTCATGATAGCGTTTATCTCGGATTGCATTTATGTGGTTTTGTTAAGCTGAAGCTTATATTCTATCCTTAACTTTGGTAACCTGTCTCGTGATACAGGCTCCCGGTCTGGTGGAAGACCATTGACATACGCATGCGCAGTCCGCGACAGTCGCCCTCCTCGGACTAATGCATTACTGGAAGTTCTTATGTACACCAGAGTTCTCCCGGACCATAAAGACAGGCGAAAAAAGTATGGACTAGGCTTTAAAGTTTGCATTAAATATTTTCCCCACAATATGATTACACACACACACACACACACACGCTGCTATATAATATATATTTACTATTTACCATGGGGGGTATTTTTCTGGTCTAAACAAAGGTAACCTCAGTTTTATAAAAATCTGTGAATGCAATCAAAAAACTGACATTGCCGAAATCTGGTATTCTGTTTGGTTACTTATATGGTTAAGATTAGGGCAAGGTAAGGGAAAGTGTTGTAATAGTTAGGATTAGGGTTATGCCCATAGAAATGAATGGAGAGTCCCGACAAAGATGTGTACAAGTTGAATATTAACACTTTGTGTGTTTGTGTGTGCGCGTGCGCGTGTGTGAGTGTTTCAGGGAGTGAGAGTGATGGATACAGGAATATTAAATGGGTTTTGAACGGTGACATTCATTTAATACTGAATCGTAAAAAAGGGTAATGAATAAAAAGACCAAGAATAATGAATGGAACAAAACCCACAAAGCACTTTTTACAGCGAAATGATCGTGCATATTATTGGAAAATAAAACAGTTACTGATATTTTCATAATGACAAAACTGTACATACCCGATCCGCTGCCAGCACGCCTTCTATGCTTTGGCTGCGGCCACGGCGTTGCACTTCGCCTTAGTAATCATTCTAAGTTCTTCGTATTTCTCCATTCATTGTTCCTCTGCCGAAAAATATGTAGCCCTATTGCGGTCCCTGCTTACGCGATTGGCTGATCTTTGCACACGGCACGCTTTTATGTGCACGCGCTCGGGAAGTAATCTTGGTTTCAGTAAGAAAACCTGGCTCGACATAGATTGTTGGTAGTCAGCGTCGTGATATCGTTTATTTAGGATTACGTTTGTTTGGTTTTGTTGAATCTTAAATTAGGTTCCAACACCGGATTTGTTAAACCGGTTTCGTGAAATGGGTCTCTTGTTGAGTAAGTAATCCCGTTTTACTATCTAAAATCGGTGCTATTTCCGTTCCAGAAACCGAGATCAGAATAAGCGTCGCTCAATTACCTTGACAACTAATGCTCTGAACAAAACCTATTCGAGAGCAGAGACGTGTATCACGAAACTCGTTTAACAAACTCAGGGTTTCAACTAAGTTTCAGTTTAACAAATCCAAATAATGGATGTGGCGCGGGCGAGCAACACTCTGTTATGACTCAGGCTTTGTTACTTCCTGAGCATGCGAACTTAAAAACGTGGTGTGTGCGAGAATCAGACAATCACGTAAGTATGGACCGCAATAGGGCTCCATATTTTTCGGTAGAGGAACAGCGCATTATATTGGAAAAATATGAAGAATTTAGAGGGACATTTAAAGCCAAGAGCAACACCGTGGGTGCCGCCAAAGCAAGGAAGGCGTGCTGGCAGCGGATCGCTGACAGCGTAAATGCGTATGTACAGTTTGTCTTTATGAACATGTCATGAATTGTTTTGCTTTACAATCATGTGCATGACTATTTCGCTGTAACAAGTGCTTTGTGGTTTTATTAATTGATCGTTGTCGTTTTATTTATAGTCATTTTTATTATTGAATATTAAATGAACTTGTCACCCTTCAGTACCCATTAAATATTCCTTTTATCCACCACACGCTCATTCAAACACCCGGATTATTTTAAATGGCCATTTCATCAATTGCTGAATGCTTTTGTATCTGTGTCAAGGATTTAATGTATGCCAGTGTAGACTATATGTGTGCAGATGACACTGCAAGAAGTTCCTATTTTTGAGGAAACAATTTTATTCCAGTTACAGTGCAAATGGTGTGAAGAGAACTTGGACACAAGTTAAAACAAAATATAAAAATATTGTCCAGACTGGTGAGTATTTTGCATCACCTTATTTTTATGGAGACTTTATTTAATGTAAACTAAGAAGTTGCATTATTTGCAGCCAACAGAAAGCGGGGCTCTGTAAAGCAGAGAGGAGGGGGACCGCTGCAGAATATTCTGGTGGAGGAGCTGACCCTCTCGAATAATGAGGGTAGCCCATTGATAACAGGGTTCCAAGGTAGTAAGTGCTGTGATCCAGCTATTCTGCCCTCCACAGTGTCCATTAGTACTGGGAGTGCTTATTTTCTCTCTCTCACTGCTTTGATGCTACTACCTATGACTGACTACATATCTCATTTGCAGTGGATGGGACTTCCAAATACCTAGAACTGCACGCCACCATGGAGAACCACCCTGAGGTAAGTATCAAAACATTTTACAGTCACAGGCCATCACAGGTTTCACAGTTCTGATTCTCCCCCCCCCCCCTTCCAGGCAACAAAGATTGATGAAGAAAGCTTATCCATCTGCTCTGAGATAAAAACAGAGGTAAATAATTTTGCATTACTCATAGTGAATTTGTATGGGCAGTGTTTTCACTTGTATTCTACTTTTTTGCAGCAGGAAGTTAACCCAGTGTCATCTCCACATGCTGGGCCCTCTGTATCAGCCCCAACATCAAGAATGGTAAAGTAGCTACAAATTTGACATACATTAATGTATTGGTACAGGGCCATCTTTTGGAACATGTGTGTTTGATATGATTCAGTATAGTGATAAGTACATTGTTTTTATCAGATGGAATCGGAGAGTGTGAAGACCCTTTACAAGAGGACCTTGGAACTGGATATCATATATAAAGAACTTTTAATAAAAAAAGTCAAGCTTGAAATTGAGAGGCTTGAAGATGAAAAACAGGTAGGTATATATGGCTAATACACTGAATTTTTCCTCAAAGAATACTTATAAAAATAAAGAATCGACATAATGTTTTTTTTCTCCCTCCCCAGCAAAGACAAAATCAATAAAATACTTTTCTTCACGTGTTTGTTTTATTTAACTGGATAACTATGTGATGATGGAATCTGCCATCTGGGTTAATTATGGGGGCAACATCATTGTAACAGGACAGTGCCTCTCCTTCCTTATAGTAGCTATACCGTAGAGCACGACTCATGCTCCCAGAGTCTCTGATGCCTGATCCAGGGCCTCTCACAGCCCATAGAGGCACTGAGTCCTTGACTTCAGTCGGCCAAAGGTCATTTAAGTTCTGACCCTCGCTTTCCTGTGGGCTGCGCTGAAGGGACCTTGACCTCTCTTCTCAGGCTCAGGGAAGGAGTTCATCAATAACCTAGACAGAGGTAACGTGACATCAAAATTTGTAACCATACACATAGGGTTACAAAACATCTGAAATGACAGAATTATATAAAGGACATTAGTGGATGACAAGTAGTAGAAATCACAATGTCAAAAATGTAGTGCTGTATGTCAAATAATTCATTGGTCTATTGTTTTGAATACTATATTACACTAACTGCAGCAAATTTGATTTGACCTATTTATAAAAAGATGCCACAATATATGCACACTAAGGCTATGAAAGGACGTCTGATTAATAAAAACTGCCCTATGCTGATGTGTTTAGGTTGTGAATACAATCTGTTGGAGCAATCACTTGTGGGAAGCATAAGAATAAATTGTATGGAGATCTTGACATATATGTTGACTAGATGCTGCAGACTGTAGTGAACGAAGAGGTTAATTGCATCTTCCATTGAGTGATTTGCTCTGTGTATGAACTGCAGAGGGTCAAGGGGGGACTCTGTGATGGACTTGAGATAGACCAGCATCAGACATTCACTGGTTTTCATTGAGGTCAGAGCAACTGGCCTATAGTCAGTTAAGTGATCTTGGCTTAGGATCTGAGACAATTGTAGCAACCTTAAAACAGTCTGGCACCCTGCATGCATGCAGGGAGTTATTGAAGATCCCAGTAAAAATTGGAGTATTCAGATCTGTGTGGTGTTTTAAAGTGCCATACAGGCCTGCTGGGCATGAGAAGAGGGAGGGGGATGGTTGCGGGGTGGTTTGGGGGTGCACTGGCTGTTCCAGAATTGGGTGTGAGGAGGAGTCATTGGTTTCTGTCAGCCATGTGAGGTGAAATGGTGGTTACTGATTGTCAAACCGATAGTAAAACTCGTCAAGCTGGTTGGCCAAGGTTAGGGAGGGGGAGGCTTGAAGGCTGTTCAGCTCGAAGTTAGTAAGTTTCTGCAAAGAGCTCCAGAAGACCTGGCTGTTATCAGAGAAGTCTCTCTAGCCATTTCTTGTATGCATCTTTGAAATCCTTGATTGCTTTGCTGAACTGCAGTTTTGCATTTCTGTATTCTACAAATTATCGAGCTAAGCAACAATTCCTGCTTTGTGATACAGGCCCCTGTTCTCCAACAGCTTTAGTGCAGAGCATTAGTTTCTATGGTAACTGAGTCACACTCATTTTGATCTCGGTTTCTGAAGCAGAAATTGCAGTTCTGAGCTACTTACTTGGAATTATTCAAAAAACCCTCTTTCTGTAATACCTCCCAGGTGTTTGAAAAATGTCATGTGACCACAATAATAAGGCCTTTATTGCAAGGTTGAGTCAATTCAGAGATAGGATTGTTAACCAATAGTCATAGGACACTATTATATCTAAATTACTTATCTTTGCTTGTCTGTGTACTGAGAGACAACCCATGCAAACATAGGAAGAACATGCAAAATCCATAAACACACACACCCAGTGCAGGAATTGAGCTGAGAAAACTGGAGAGGTAAAGCCACAATGTTACCACACACAAAACAAGGCACATTAAACTGTGATATTTCCTCATTATATTTATTTATATATTTGGACAAAAGGTTAACCTTTAAACAGAGTGATGCTGACAGATTGCTGGTGGAAAGGTAAAGTGACCTCTCACTGGAAGGGTGTGCACTGAACAGCCCCCAACCTCATGCACACATAGGCAGGTGATAACAGTAGCTGCACAGCTGGAGAGCCAGACTTCCAAAATCACTGTAAAGCTTAAAAAAGGCAGTGTGGAATCAGTAAAAAAAAGGCCAGGTCTCAGAATTAGCACTAGAAAACAAGGACAGTATCAGTACTCTCATATATTCCTGACACGGGCTTTAACATTATACCATTTCATTTAGCCTTGGTTTACAAAAGCCAGGGTTCCCGCTGCCGCTCGTCACTCTCGCCATTGACGAAAACGGAACCCATGGTGACGAAGAAAAACGGCATCAAATCGTCACTCTGGCGAATTCAATTTTCAAATGACGAATTTTGAATTTTTGAAAAGTCGAATTTCATTTTTTCCCAATTTTCAACCGTAGCACACGTAGGGCATAATCAAAACTGGCCCGGCGCCCCGGACACACGAACGTCAATCATCCATGTCAAATGAGCATGGGCCGTTTTAAAAGTAGCAAATGTTATCGATCAGTGTGGGGACATTCTAAAACGCTTAATGTGAAAATGCTTAATGTGGTTTAATGTACCAAGACAGCCACCAAAAATCACTATATTTCTCACACATATATCTGGTCATAAACACTTTCACCTGACAAGAAATCTAAACCAAAATGCTAAGAATAAGGACTTTATACTACGTTAAGCGGTTTCCCCTCCATTGACGCCCATTATAAGGAAAAGGTTTAATGATTAATTTATTAAGAAGCGGCGAGAGAGTGACTAAAAAAAACTGATGCTGAAAAAAAGTGAAGAATTTGATTAGTAGAAGCAAAAATACAAAGAAAAGTGAAGAATTGAAATCAAACTCCAGGGGGAACCCTGAAAAGCAATACGGACAGGTATAAATTACTCTACTAAAAAGGCAAATCCTTACTGTCTTCTTGGTACTTTAATACAGACACATCTTTAAAAGTTGTACCCCCTGTAAATACAGCAAGAGCAGCATCAATATGACGCTCATTAAGTTAATCAGAGAAGCCCCTGTATAAAACTCGTCTGTGTGTTTGGAGGGGGGGGGGGGGCATGATTTTTCCATAGCTCTGAATGAAGGCCTCAACTTATAACGAGAGCACTGTCCTTTTCATTGTCATGTTCTGGAATGTAAAGCAGCTGCCAGCATGCTCGTGACGCCGAACAGGACTTCTCTATGCAACATCACCCAATCCCTCTTAGAATCTTTGGAATCACACAGCACCCTTCACTTGTCCTCTGGTAGTTATGACAGCTGTCGCCAAGACAGCAGAAGAGTCAGTGTAAGAATGAGGTTTTGCTCCCGACGGAGTTACAGGTTGCGTTAACATCAGTTCTGTCATTGTCAATAACCAAATTGATAAATACAAATACATCACCGTAATATCACGAGAAGCTAAAACTAAAACTAGAGGGTGTAGTAGGTAACTGAAGAACAACTAGCATTCCTCTGTACCTTCAGATATGGTGCGCTAGATGCAAGCAGGGCTAAGTTCCTTTGAGCATATACAGTTTAATGATTACATTATCTGTATCCTGCGTTAAGCCTGGTGATGCATGGGCTGTAAATGGGACTGCGTGAGCCTCTTTAAAAGCTGTGCAACACACAACACAGCCACCTTCTTCACCTGTTTCCTCCCACAGCCAAGCAGATCTACTTCTTAGCCTTTCCCTGGGCTGCCACGGCCTCCATAGCCTTGCGGACGGTCTCCTCGTCTCCCAGGAACTGCATGGGCTTGATGGGCTTCAGGTTCTTGTCCAGCTCATAGACGATGGGGATTCCAGTGGGCAGATTGAGGTTCATGATGGCCTCATCTGTCATGTCTGCAGACAAAAGGCCAGCCTCCATTATGCATCATGGGTATTAATTGGTTTCATCTGTATTAAGATACTAGACAGTAGTGGTGTGACAAGTAGAATACACACCCTCCAGATGTTTCACGATTCCTCTCAGGCTGTTCCCGTGGGCTGCAATCAGCACCTTTTTGCCCTCCTTGATCTGAGGCACAATTTCCTCATTCCAGAAGGGCAGAGCACGGGCAATGGTATCTTTGAGGCTCTCGCAGATGGGTAGCTGGTCCTTGCTCAGGTCACGATAGCGACGGTCCTGCAGACACCACACATATACAGAGAGAATGGAAGAAAGAAATGTGATTATTTCATCCAATGTGGTAACTGTGTCAAGCATGTTTAGTAGACTATGTCTGAACTGACAACTTACACAGGTGTTTATACAAGAGCCATAATAGTCCAGGAGGGAGTGGGTGTACAATTTCACAGATAAATGGACAGTTCTTCTGTTCTTTGGTCGTAGGTTGTAAGCATGTCCCCACAACCTAGTGTTTACTCTTGGAAAGACTGCATTCTGCATTTTGGCCACAATGTGGTAGCAGTGATCCATTTTTAATTCACTAGCAAAAGGCCACTTTGTATTTATGTTCATTCATTCCTCCTTATTTATTTACACTACAAGTCTGGACAAGCCAAGCTGCCTAGAAAGGAGAATGATAGTGTCACATCACATGACCTGGCCACCGAACCTATATACAATAGAAATCATTTTGGAGGAGTTTGACCACAGAGTGAAGGAAAAGCAGCCAATGAGTGCTCAAGCATGTATGTAGGACCTCCTTCCGGACAGCAGGAAAAGCATCCCAGGATGTCACCTCATGAAGCTGGCGTAGAGGAAAAAGTAGGGTCAACCAGTCCATGGAGAAATTGGGGATAAGGGGCATGCTCAAATGGTGGGATCACTCTGCCCACCATAGGATTTCAACCAGCATACAAGTTACAACCTACAGCGTTGCCGCCATTCCCAACAAATTCTTATTTTTTTTGTTTAAGTACACAGAGAATAGCACAAACAGCACAGTGAGTGGCTCTGCAGGCTTAGTCCCTGTGATCAGAAGATTGTCGGTGTGAGCCCTGATCTCAGAAGGATGGTCACATGTCCGTGGGCCCTTGAGCAAAGCCCGTTACCCCCAGCCCCAGGGGCACCGCACATTGGCTGACCCTACACTGTGGCCCCCAAGCTATGGGGAGAGAAGAATTCCAATATATTTGTGCAAATGGCAAATAAAGAATTATTATTATTATGAAAATACACCTTTCTATGGGTAGGTATGTCCAAACCTTTGCTATTATTTTATTTTTACTTTTATTCTTTAATTTGTTCCCCCCTTAGTATTTAACGTCCAGTGTTTACTGATCAACTGTTGTTGTTCTAGCCGTTTGCGCCAAAGGATTGCGATTTCATTTAATGTGTGTGAAATGGCAATAAAGTGACTTCAACCGCACACCCACAAAGACCGCAAGTGGGATTTGAACCACCAAACCTCGTGGAATGAGGCAACAATGCTACCTAAAGAGTCTCCATGTCAGATATACATCTGCTAGAGAACTGAGAGAGCGCTGGATGACAGTCCAAGCTACAAAGATGGTCCGCCTTCAGGCCTGTTATCTTCAGATTCCAGTTGTCCTCATCAGACCAAGCTCTTAAATCAAAAGTAACTGATCTTTTGAATTGCACTTTGATACTTCAAATTATTTATCACATAATAACCCAGCAATGCACCACCAAACCCACGGATATTGGAAAATGCGGCCAAAGATATATTGAAGAAACATGACGCTTCAATATGTCAGTCTGTGGTGGCTGCTGGTCAGGAAGGAGGGCCGCACTCCTCTGCTTGGGGAATGAAATGGGAACAAATGCATCCACAACAATGGGATGGGGTCGGATCCATACAAACATGTGCAGGTCTGTCACTGGTGATGATTCATGCATGCACACAACCCATACATATGGGAGGTATTTTCTGCAAAAAATAAAATTAAAATGAAAATGATAAAAAAATACAATATCCACTTTGCCATTTAGTTTCCAGTCTGTGTGCAAAAAATCCTGCAAAAATTAAAATGAAATAGCACCATTTGCATTTTAATTTTCCACTCAGATGTGAAAAATTTAAAAATAAAATTAAAACCCCTTTTTGTCTTTTCATTCTCCAATTTGACCTTTCATTTCCTACTTTGCCTTTTCAAGTTCACTACATGTAAATATATGTTAATCGGAGCGGGGCGGTGGGCGGAGCTACGGATCACCACTGCGCTTCTCAGTGCGTTACTGCGTTTGCCGATTCCGTTGTCTTCGTGTTTCTTGGCCGTGGTCAACCTTGTCGCTCGAACTAATGGCAAAGTCACAAGTGGCTTAAGTTAGCTACTTATCTGCAGCTTCTAATTCGTAGCGTCTTATTTCGGGGCTTAAGTTACTTCCAGCTTCCTTATAGGGTAGTGTTCGCAGCTGCACATGCTGTACAGTTTTTAGTTAAGACATTTTGAAAATACGAAATTAAATATTATGTCGTGCGATATAATGGCAGGTAGGCCTATACCATTGTAATTGTAATGTATTTTCTTTTTATCATTTTCCTTTTATTTTTTGCAAAAAATACCTCTCATACATACCTGGCTGGGCCACATATCCCATGATGCCAATGATGTTCCCTGGCCTCTGGTGGGAGTAACGTGTCTACGAGGCAGGCAGTACCTGGCTGATTGCAGAGTACAAGTCGTGCTCGGCATCCATGGGGGGCGGGGGGATGTCATACGAACGCCTCCAGACCTTGACCTGTGCCTCGCCATGCCGGGCTGCAGTCTCGGCCTTATTGAGCCCCGTCAGGCCGCCGTAATGTCGCTCATTCAGCCGCCAGGTCCGGTGCACCGGCAGCCACATCTGGTCGATGCCGTCCAGCACGAGCCAAAGTGTGCGTATGGCCCTCTGCAGCACCGAGGTATAGCACACATCGAACTCGAAACCGGAATCTACGATGGGGCGAAGAGAATAGCAGCCAGAAATCTGAGTCAGGAAAAACTACTGCTCATCAGTTATAAACCTGTAATTGCAAAAAGCCTGAACTCAGTACACGCCTCTATTTTTATTATACTGAGCTACTAAATCAGTCTTTCCAAAGCTGTTGACATATGCGTTATTCACGCAAGGATCTAACAGCAGTCAGCACCATACATTTGGCTTTGTGGAACATTTTTGTGAATATTATTAAGTGGGGAAAAACGCAACACGTTCTGAGCGGCACGTCCACATGTGACGGCGTGATTTGGGCGGTCTGTAACCAAACTGCAAATTAGCATAAGCAGGCTTTGATTTGTCTAAACTGGGAGGAACGTCGGCCCCAACAAGATATGATTGGAGGCGGGAACTTGTCAAATAGCTCTCCTTAAATCAATTCATGTTACTAACAGAAAATGGCTTACCAAAAATAACGTTATTGCAAATAATTCTGTTTCATTTTACAATGCCAACTAACAGGCTACAAACAAAAGTGAATCAAAAACTTTTAGGAAAAAATGACACCCTTTCTAAAACCTACAAGTTTATGCTGATGCTGCAACTTTCATATATTAGACAGATGGCTAATAATACATCATAAAGTGATATGATCAGTCTAATTCTGCGCATGAAAGGATTTCGCAGTGATGGATCTAGCTGATGTACAGTAACTGACAAGCTCCAATCGCAGCCTTTCATCACTCATAACGACAGCGCGCAGCCCAGAAGGCGAGACCATTCATTTTACGACTGGCAACAAGTTAAATAACACCAAAACAAACAACGCTGCTATGTGAAGTACAGCACCTTTGAGAGCCTGGCCGCCTCGTTTCGCCTCCTGGACCCCAGCTTCGCTCAAATCTGCGTCGAACCAACCGCAGAACCTGTTCTCCTGATTCCAGCAGCTTTCTCCGTGACGAATCAGCACCAATCTGTACGCTGCCATTCTTTGACTTTTAACTGGAAGTGATTAGAAATCGCTTTTGTTAAATACCGTCTTAGCTGCCGTAGCGTCTTACTACCAGTTTGGATTCTCTACACTGAGTTCACCCACTGAATACGCAGAATTCATTATACAGTGAATCACCAGTAAGTGCACGTCATATGTGAACCTCCGTTACCGTAAATATTAGTGTTGGGGGCGATTTCTTATTCTGCAGCAAAATATGTTCAATTATCTTGCAATAATTTGGGATATTTCTTTTTACAAAGGGGCTGTGGAAATGGGTTGATTTAAGGGGAGAGTCATTTCCATAAGTAACACGACTAAATATTACTAATTTATGGGTCAAGGTTAAAATGGATCTAAAACTTAGCAAATCATATTTGGATTATATTAATAGGTCACACAACAGGCCATGCTGAAACTCCTGTTAACGTCTTGACAGGTATAACCCTGGTACGTGCTATTACATTTTCTAACTCTGAACAGGAACGCATCAGCAACTCCTCCAGAAGCCTTCTGAATCAGCATTCTTGGTGAGATGCTGTAGTGGTGTCAAAGGCGAGGAGTACACTGCAGCAGTCCAGGGACCCACGGTGCTGACCAGGTGCAGTCAGGCTGCCTGTCTGCAGGGTGATGTCACGGTGATGCAGGCAGACACTTCGAAAGGCCCGGTAATGATGTTAATCAGATGGAGGGGGTACACATGCAGAGGAAGTTATAATTTACTATATATCTATCGATATATATATAGTAATATACTATATGTCTGCTCAAATGTATATGTAGTATTGTATAGTTTCTCTATGATACGTCGATTTTTACTTTGCAGACATACAAGTCAAAATTTTATTGCACTGAGTTTTATTTACACTATCTTGTCGCTAACGCGTAAAAATAAGCGCTTTATACATCTAGCCAAAGATGAAGTAATGACATAGAATTATCATTTTATATACAAGTCTTAAAAGTCGCAAGAATATAATTTAGGATACGAGAAAGCACTCCCCCTAAAGGAAAAAAAGCCTGTGCATATTGCACATTAAGAACATGAATTTGACTTCGATTTATAGAGGCGGAGTTTGAGGAGGCGACAGCCAATGACAGCAGGCTCTGGGCTGACGTAATCGGCAGTGGCGAGTTGTATCTTCGGTAGTAGGAGGGCTTTGGTCCGGAAGCTGACAGTCAGCTGCTCTATTTGCTGAGACTCGTTGCAAGTTAGGTCACTGATTAGAGTTAGGTTGTTATTCCCCATACAGGAAGTCCGAGTTTCACCCCGTCATAGCTTTGTTTATTATGGACGAAACCAGTCCGCTCGTTTCCCCACTCAGGGATGCCACAGATTTCAGCTACTGTCCCACAGAGCCTAGCAGTCCCCGAAGCGTGTTTGGCGGGGCGCCGGGCTCGGTGGTACGTGTACCGGCTGGAAGCCCTGGACGCAGCCGTGAACGACAGCCGCTGCTGGAGCGGGACAGGGGAGGCTCTCCGCGGGATGCGCACAGAAATGACTTCCCGGAGGATCCAGAGTTTAGGGACATAATCCGGAGAGCGGAGCGAGCCATCGAGGAGGGAGTCTTCCCAGAAAGGATCTACCAGGGATCCAGCGGGAGCTATTTCGTTAAAGATTCACATGGGGTAGGTAACAGCGCAACAACTAACTTTAATCATGACGCTTTCATCTTGTGTCATTTACATATTCAAATGATTGCGTTGATTGCATGGCATAGAGTAGGTTCGGACGGGTCTGGCGCAGCCGAGGCCTGAACGCTATGGCGCTCAGAGCCGGCGATGCTGGGGCAAGTATTACTGGAGTTACGAAACACCCCTGCTTCAAGCGCTTCCTTAAGTGTTTTCGTGAATGTGCCTGGGATTGTATTGTCACCGATATATACCCGGTATGGGACTCTATTTTGAGCCCAGGACGACTTGGGGTCACTGCTACCGCATCCTTAGACCGGTGTCTGGGTCTGCAGCCTAGGATAGGGTCACATGTTGCTGGTGGTGTTCACATCTGTGTCTTGCTTTCGAATTGTCATAAGTACAGAAAAACTTAACAATACAAACAAATGAAACGGTATGTTGTGACTTCTTCCTCCTTTCCATAAATTTTATAAGCCGAACAAAATCGCGTTTTATTTATTTGTCGCAGTATTTGAATGTTAGTCCTCTCAATAATCCATTGTTTGTCTGCATGGTAATGAGCGCCCTAATGGGATTAGATGAGAGTGCAGCACGTTGTACATTACTGAGACTAAGCCCTTCATTAATTCTCTGGAGGGCCCCAGTGCCCTCAAGATCTGGCCAAAAGAGGGGAATGAATACATACAGGTTTGCAAAGCAGTGCAAGTGCTACACACTTTTCAGTAACTTGTGTGTTTTCTGTGGTGTTCTGTTCGTGTGTGTGGGTCGGGGGGTGCAGAAGGATAGCTAGGCAGCCTAATTTGAAGAAAGTATGGCATCTAGTGTCTACTATGTCACTTTGGAGCAGAGCCTGTTTGGTGTAAGGACAGCCGTTTCCTACAATGCTGACCTGTCTGTGAAACCTAACAGACTCCCTCTCTGGAAGGGCCACACAGTGGGAAGTGGACAGCTACTTCCTTCAGAGTCTTCATGTATAGTCAGATAGGCCATGTAATGATGCAAACATAAACATATTATATACAAAAAATGCTAAGTTAAATTAGTGTTAGGATGGATTACAGAGCAGATCTTACGCAGTCATGTGAGGAAGGTTTAGGCAATCTTACTTCTGTAATGAGTTTCCAGCCATTGCTGTTCCTCCTTTGGCCCATGAGGCTGTATCGGGGTTTGATGGTTTTGTGTTGCCATCTCTTAGGTCCGTCCATTAAAACCACACTGCATGTGTCACCTTCACATGGTGTGAGGCGTTTCTGCTGTCATTCTGTGACTATTGATTCAAGCTAGTTTCCAGCTAGCTTTTGATATTCTTTGAACATAATTAATGATTTGCTTCCAAAGTACTCACTTTCTAAAAGGTGTCCTTGCTGCAGAATGTTGATGTCTGTTCACGCGGCCGGTTCCTGATGTTTCAGCCCTGCCTGTTGCTCTCTGGCTCACCGTCCACCTGCCTTTGCAGAAAATCATCGGCGTGTTCAAGCCCAAGAACGAGGAGCCGTACGGACAGCTGAACCCCAAGTGGACCAAGTGGCTGCAGAAGCTTTGCTGCCCCTGTTGTTTTGGGAGGGACTGTCTGGTGCTGAACCAGGGCTACCTGTCTGAGGCAGGGGCCAGCCTGGTGGACCAGAAGCTTGAGCTCAACATTGTGCCCAAGACCAAGGTACAGCATGACGAGGAGTTTGCCTGTGAGAATGGTGCAGGTGACCACGCCAACCATCAGTCCCTGTGACCTTTGTACTCTGCAGGTGGTCTACCTGGCAAGCGAGACCTTCAACTACAGTGCCATCGACAGAGTCAAGTCCCGGGGTAAGAAACTGGCCCTGGAGAAGGTGCCAAAGGTTGGTCAGCGATTCCACCGGATAGGTCTCCCACCCAAGGTAAGCACCCAGGCCTAGCTCCACCCGAATCTAAATGAATTTCTGTGATTTCCATATTGGTTTACACTTGCACAGTGCTTATAGTTGGTGTGTGTTGTGCTGGTGCCTTCTACAGGTAGGGTCGTTTCAGTTGTTTGTAGAAGGGTACAAAGATGCCGACTTCTGGCTGCGGCGATTTGAGGCAGAACCTCTCCCAGAGAACACTAATCGACAGCTCCAGCTGCAGTTTGAGAGGCTGGTGGTTTTAGATTACATCATCAGAAACACGGGTAAGGGGGCAGTGTGTCCTTGAGTGCAGGGGCAGGGAGGTGAGGGGAGGGTCAAGCTGTGCATAGATCACATATGAGGTAAAACATGTCTTTGTGTTAAACACCACACCTTTGTGTTCCTGACAGATCGAGGGAATGACAACTGGCTGTTAAAATATGACTGTCCCATGGACACTGGGGGAGCTAGAGTAAGTTGTTGGGGGGGGGATCTACCCTGTAATGATGAAGCAAACTCGGAATTGAAGGTCTTATGACTCCTGTCGTGGAGACTGAGTCAGACTGTACTCTGGAAAGTGCATGTGTGACTTGATGTTGTAATGGATCTTCCTTAGGCTACAGTGTAATGGGTTTTTCATGGGTTGCAAAGTGTCTGTGTTGGCAGAGGACCTGGGAACCTCCCTTCCTCTTTCGGCCCCTGCCATGGATCCTTCCTCTCTCTCCCTGGCCAGGATACTGACTGGGTTCTCGTGAAGGAGCCTGTCATTAAGCTAGCCGCTATAGACAACGGTCTGGCCTTCCCTCTCAAGCATCCCGACTCGTGGAGAGCCTGTAAGTACAGGCGCCCTTCTGAACCGTCTGGATTACGTGCTGTCGCTCCTGCGAGCAGCTCTTTGTTTTCAGCCACGTCAGCTGCCTTGTTGCCTACACTAGGGATGGAATTTTAAATCCTGCACCTGCAATATTTTGTCCCAGTCCCTCCCGCTCCTGCAGAACTTTTGTCATATTTTGTCCTGCTCCCGCCCACAACGGAAATGTACGTTTCGATCACTGTGCTTATTTTCAGAGTAAGATGAGACAAACCTGTAGCCACAACAAATAGGCAATATTTAACGTTTAACAGTAAAAACAGCTTTCATATAAAAGTAGGCTAGTCATACATATAGGCATATGTTTGCAATAACAGGTCGTAGATATGCACAAACAATATCCATGCATCTTTGTTTAATTTTAATTGTGTTCCCGTTTCCTGTCTGCAACATCAATTTTTTTTTTCTGCACGCCATTTCCGCCTAGTACGACTTCTGGCCGCGATTCCCGCCGCACAGCAGCGTAGCGTGTGTACTCCCAGCATCCTAGTTCTTTGTATTTGCATATACGTTTAAAATGATGTCAAATAACGACTTACGAACATTTCAAGTTACGAAAGGCTGTTCGGAACGTAACTCATTTGTAAGTAGAGGAGCGTCTGTAATTGTAGTATTATTATTATTATTTAAGATTCTCATCTTTTAAAAGATTTTCGTGCTGGCTCTGCCACCATTAGCCAGGTGCTCATGAGTGTAATGAGGGACTTTCAAAATGTTAACATTCTTCCGAAAGTTCTGGAATAGGCTGGCTGTGTACAACCAAATTAGGCATAGAAGCCTTTTTAAATTAATTTTTTTTAAATTATTATTCGGTGAGATTTTTGATGTAACTCTTTGTTCATGAACAGGAATTACTCTATGATAAAATAACAAGCATAGAGTATTTGAGCAATATTTATTTATTTTTGCGGTCTACCACGAGTCATTTTTATTCTCAGGCTCCTACAGACATATCGGTCACTTCCTGCCCACTTACGCATTCAGAAATGAAAATTTGTCACGTGTCGCACTGTATTTCTGCACGTCCCAAGGGGATGCAGACCTCTAGCTTACACTATGCCTGATCGTGCTGCGTACACCCCTTTGACAGGCAGCGAAGGCTTCAAAACATGTACAGTTTCATATTGGTGCTGGCATTTAGAGGAAGAACACCTTCTCTGCCAACAGATCCATTTTACTGGGCCTGGTTGGCACAAGCAAAGGTACCCTTTTCACAAGAAATCAAGGAGCTCGTCTTACCCAAGCTGTCTGATCCTAATTTTATTAAGGACCTAGAGGAAGACTTGTATGAGCTGTTCAAGGTGAGCAGTGTTTTTTTTATGTCATTTACAGATGCAGGTAGTTTACAGTCCTGTTTTCCACTCCTTGAACTTTATTGACTTTGCACGCTCTTTCTTGTACTCTCTTGCGCTCTCTCTCCCTCGCTTCACAGAAGGACCCAGGCTTCGACCGGGGACAGTTCCACAAGCAGGCTGCGGTTATGCGAGGACAGGTGAGACACCGGCTGTGCTCGCCAGTGGGCTTCTGTGTCTGTGTTGTGGGTTGTGAGTTTGAAACCCGCCTTCATGCTGTCCTCTCTTCCAGATCCTCAACCTAAGTCAGGCGCTCAAGGACGGCAAGACCCCCCTGCAGCTGGTGCAGTTGCCGCCGGTCATTGTGGAGACGGCACGGGCGCCGCAGCGAGCCAACAGCGAGTCCTACACCCAGAGCTTCCAGAGCCGCCGGCCCTTTTTCACCTGGTGGTAGAGCAGCGAGGGCCGGGGCAGGGGTGCGGGCAAAGCCCCTCCATCTTAGCCTCCTGGAAGGGAAAGGAGTGAGGCATTTAACAGGGAAGCTTCCCTTCTCCCCTCAGCTGGCATCCTGACGGACAGCGTGTCAGACCGATTGACCTTCTTACGCTCTTTTCTGTGCCTTCTGCTGTCTATTAGTGGGGGGGGGGGCAACTCTGAGGAATGTCCTCCTCTGAGGTTTATGTTTTCATTCCACTCTCGCCGCACACGCATCACGCCCTGCCCTGCGTTGTACACGACATGTTTACATTCCCAACCTCCTGGGCTGCTAAGCCGCACGTCTAGCATCAGGCTTTTTCCAGAAGGAAATGGGGAGGGTTTTGGAAAGGGGGGGGGGGGGCATCAGGGATGGCGAACCTTGTGGAGGAGAGCCCAGTGGAGCCTCCAGATGCCAAACACCTTGATGTCCACTGCTAGGTTCCTACCTTCAGTGCCAGTGGAGCCTTCAGCCTGTCCCATCCAGCCTTTTAATAGATTGGTGACAGACATGGCTGTGAGGTCCTGACAGGAGCCGATCGACAGTTTTTAGGCTGCTTTTAACGGCATACAAGGTACTATGTAATGTCAGTGAACTACGCAACTGCAGATCCTAGACTTATTGGTTACTGTTGATATAGCAGATACAGCTGGTAGTTGTTTAAAAAAAAGTTCTAGCTTTTATTTTAGATGATTACGGGGGTTCATCTGAAAGTTAGTCATTGGCTGATTCTATATGACCACATCACTGCTCTCCGGATGCTAGTTAGGTAGCAGTTTGGGCTAGGAATCACAGCCTTTTTTCTTCCGAAGGATTAAACCGCGAAGACCGAAACTGCAAGGCTTCAATCAGAAACGCCTTCAGGTGTCTTCGGTGTCAGTGAGCTGTTCGTGTTTCCTTTTATACTCGGTTTCCAAAACATTTGCCTTCATGAATTGTCACTGCGCTTGTAGCTAACGTGGCATGTGGGACCAGAGGCCCGGAACCACAAGCACCCCCGTGGCCGTCAGCTGCCCTGCGCCTGTTTCTGCTGAGGGGGGTCTCTACTGTCACTAACAGCCTGCATGCCTGCCTTCTGCTTCCTGTGTGAGATGCGGTGCCACGTGCTGGGACCTACGGCTGGTCCCCGGGCTTAATGAGGATGACTCCCACCGTTGTGTCACCGGCCTTGTGCTGTTCAGGGCAGATGTGTTTGAGGGGCTTTGCTGGGGCGGGATGGGACGGGTGGTGGTGTTCCTGCAGTGAATTTCCTTTCCCGGATCTGCTTCTCATGGACTGTGAGCAAAGGACAGAGCATGTGCATGTACCTAGTGATGTAAGGCAGCACTGGGGATTGTGGGTTTCCAGCAAATGTACAATACTGGGCTGAAAATGCGCTTCTATAAGCGGAATAGTTCGTTTTGGGGGGGGGGGGGGGGGTGATCTCCCTTATCTCCAGATGAAAGTGTGCAGTTTGGGCAAATGGAGAGCATTTTGTACCCATATTTACTGCTGTAGCTACCAAAACTGACCTACATGTATTCTGACAATGCACTGTATAATTTAATGTAATATATTAAATGAAAAATATGTTTAAAGTACGGAATACACCGAGGAGGACCTCTGACTCCTGACTTCAGTGTCTTATCTTAATGGGGGGCATTTAAATGGAAATTTCCTCAGTTTTCCACCTTTGAGCTGGAGCTCTGCTTTAACTGCTTATGTGTCATTTCTTAACCAATCATAGCTCATTCCAGTGTAACAAAGGGAAGCTGTAGGCCAAGGTTCCAGTAGGTTACAGTCATATTCCAAAGATAAGCAGGGACAGGCCTGGGCTGGCTTTCTGGCATACCGGGCATGGGCTTGTGGTCTGGCAAAATGTATCATTAGGGACCCCCCCCCACTTGACACATTTCATCATGGGGGATCAACCCTCCCCACTTTATAAGCAAAATTCACCCAGGAAAGATATGTAATTTCAGTTTAACCCAGGGGGTATTTCCACAGTACAGTGGAACCTTGGAACTGGAACGCCTCTTAACTTGACCTTCTTGGGCGTTGAACAAGTATATTGATTTTTTTTCGACTTGTACCTCAACTGAAATCTTGGAACTTGACTGTTTCTGCTTTAGCTTGAATGGGTCGAGACACGTCTTATCATTAGGTAGCTAGGTAGAAAGGCAATCGTTTGGGGTTAAATTCATTTATATTATTTCTTATGGGGAAATGCGACTTGGACCTCGACCAAATCGCAACTCGACGGCCTTCTGGAACAAATTAAATTCGTGTTCCAAGGTACCACTGCAGTTTATTTTTTCAGCCACTAGAGGGAGATGCGTGATTACGAGCATCTATAAATGTGTGCCCATTGCTAAAGGCAACATTGTAAAACTCCAACAGAAGGTTTTTTGAGAAATAAGACTACAAGCCCAGCTGAGAATATCATCCCATCATACCATGGAAGTACACACTGTGAACTTCTGAATTTGTTTTAGTACGATGATTTTTCTGTGATGCATTACACTCATTTAACTCACAGTCCAAGCCTCAATGAAGATACCGAAAAGATTTTACAACTCAAGCAAAAAAGATGAAATAATACAGAACACTCACATAATATAATTACACATTTATAACAGAATTTGAATTTAGTCAAAAACACCCAATTTCTTGTGTTTTTGGACAAAAAAACTGGGGCAGCAGCAAATGTCATGCCTTGTACACATGTAATTATAAAATGTACGTATAAAGCTGTGTTTCCAAAAAGCCTAGCCTTCTCCAGCCCCTTCTGTCTCGATGTCCTTCATCTGGGCTTCCAGCTGATTAACACTTACATGTGACCCACCCATGACAGGAGTTAAGGATACAACTAATCTAGCTAACTGTGCCCATGGGAAATCACAGCCTAGAGGAAGTATCTAATGGCTCCTTACAGTACATATCCTGGTCAAGTCTAATCTTAGTGCTATAACCTAGCAAAAGAGCTCTCCTCCACAATACTGTACTGAAGAGAGAAAAAATTGTACCGTACTATAGTCTCTCAGTTTGAGAATATATCTGCAGGACATTCTGGGTCAGCTGACACCAGGTAGCCAATCAGGGTAGGATAAGGTGAAGGTAACAGTCTTGGTTTCTGCTGCTGCCCTGATTGGTGGTTCCAGCTTGGTGCCAAAGTGAAGTCTCCAGCAGCTCTGACCCTGAGTCTCCTTCAGTCTCTGATGTGCCCTCATCATTGGTAGCACCCCCACAGCTGGCTGCCTGCCCCATCTCCTCATCCTCCTCTTCGTCTGACCTGCTTGCTGACCCCTCATCAATCCTGCAGATGCAGATCATTAGATAATATTACAACAACATTCTGAAACTTCTTAGATGTCACTAGATGAAATTAAAAGCAAGAAACGACCAATCTGAGACATTTCTCCACTACTGTGCAAAGTGTTAAGCCCTGTCCTAGGGTTGGTATCACTGTGGCATGACTAGTGCTTCTCTTACCTGAGGTGACCAAATGCATGAAGCCACCTGGACACGGCACAGTGTGGCTCCTCCACCTTCAGCCTCCTCTTGCAGCTGTGTGCCCGGAGCCCCCAGAGAGCACTGGCCAGCTCTGGCCGGCCGCAGAGGCTCCACACAAGCCGAGCACGCCTCTCCGCATCCCGGTCGCCCGATGTGTGGAACAGCCGCTGAAGCTGCCGTAGGTCAACCCCTCGGAAGATGTCCCCGGATCCGGCCTTGCGGTAGCACTGCCGATGGGCTGCAGGCCAAGACTGGGAGGGGCCAGTGATAGCACCTGGCTTTACAGAGACCTTCATCTTGCACTGACTTCTGCTCTGTTGCTAATATTCTTTTCACGCTCCACAAAGGGACTCAGCTTCTGGCCCTGCAATCAAACAACAGATCAACAACTCATGATGAAAGATTTATCCCTGCTAAGCCGGCGGAGGCACAGCAATATCTCAAACGGAGCCAGGACGGTCCAGCCCCTTTCCTTCAAATTGTCGTGCAGTTTATGGGTCATCATCCGCCCAAATGCGAGGGAGAGGGGCTCATTTTTGAGCTTGATACAGGGTAATTAAGAAAGTACCCAGAATATCACGTCTAGAACAGTATAATTTTAATTCTCTGAAAACGGTAATGTGAAAATAAATAATCTTAGAAATGACCGGTCTGTCTATCTAGCATTAACTTGCGTTTTCACTTTTCATGAACATTTTGTTATATTTTGTCAAGCTTACAGATTGTAATAGTCACTAAAACCATCAACATCACGCAGATACACTCACGCTCAATGCTGCACACCAAAGCGAGACAAGACAGAACAGCGTTGTGCCCATTCCATATTCAAATAGTAATTTTAACACACACATGTTGGACATCGCTGAAACACACAACGAGATAAGTATTTTCTCACCTTTAGCTGCCGAAAAATGCGCTTAAATGTTCTCTGCACAGTATATGTCTTTACACAGCCACTCCGCTACAGACCACTCCGAACGACTTGTAGAAACTGCACGGAGTTTCATATTTTTGGTTCAACTGTTGCTACGTAACCAATAATAGATAGACACTGCCATAATCCCCGCCTACAATCGTACATTGATGTTTGTCTAACCTATCAGAATTACCAGGAGGCGTCGCCTCAGAAATGGGACAGCTTGGCCACGTAGTTTATAAACATGCGGTCCGTTGACGTCAATGGTCGGAGCCCCGAGGACTGGTTTCGCTAATTAATCACGCTTGGTATTCCGAACCCGCTAGTGTGATGCACAGCAATAAGAATGCGTGCATGCTATGGGATTATGCTTTTCTTTTTTATTTTTCAGTTCCTGCCAGCCTGACGTGGGTTTTATTAACTGAGTTGCCTGAGGTGTGCCATAGCCTATATCGGTCTTGATATTTTGATTAAAATGATTCACATGTAGTAATTAAGTACACACTTATTGTCTCACGGTAAATAGCACAAACAAGTTTTGGGATAAATGTACAGGTAGTGTTCTATGTACGAGAAAAGTAGGAAATATATAAATGTAGTATGTGTTCTCAGTGCGTCCTAATTTATTTTTGTGATCTAGGTTCTGTCTTAGATTTGTCTTAAGATTTTGCTTGTTTATCTTTAAAATTTGTCAGAAAATGTAGATTCTAAATTGGCATGTTTAAATGCGAGTTAGACTTATTATCACACCCAACCCCCAGGAATTATAGGTACTATTTAGTTGTAGGGCACATGCACAGAGAACTGCAGTATTCACTGTGCATTTAATCTGACATAAATATGTCTTGCGAGGGCGTCACGGTTTGTTAGTAATGCCATCAAATATGAGATGCACGTCAAGCAGTCAAACCGAGTTTCCTGTCACTCCTGTGTGCTTTCGCGTGGGGTCTCTGTTGGGTTTTGTAATACGTTTTTTTTGGTTTTGTATGGACTGTTTTTTTAAATCATCGGCTTTGAAGTGTTGCATGTTGGGTCAGGGTTTGCAAATAGCTTGGTATTGCAGAAACACGTCCTAAAGTTTTCTGTCACACGAAGGGTGTAAACAGCTCTGGGACTCCATTGCTGTTTGTGTCTCTGTAATACAAAATCAATTTAATAATCTGGCTGCTTTTTACACATTTGTCTAATATAGTTTATTATAACAAAAATACACAAGTGGCCAAAATTGTGAAAAAACCTTGCATTTTTTGGAATTATGCTTTAAAAAGTTCTATAGGAAACTGGAGCAACAGTTGAAGTTCTGCAATCTTGAAAGATTGGATGTGTTTCTGCAGTTTTTGGCAGCTAGTGTACTGAGTTGTTGATCTGTGTAAATTTCTTAAAAATGAGTAAATGTGCCAAGTAAAATAAAGACATCGGTCTTGTTCTTTCCTTGCACTTACATTCTTTAAATTGTGGAAATTATGTTTTTTGCTACCTTTATAAAGAATCCCTGTCATTAGAAATCTGTGTTTATTTGTTGAGTTGTTGGAGTTGTTGGCCTGGGATTAATGTTTAAACTGTAGAGAGGGGAGCAACGGCAGAGGACAAACTGCTACTGGGGCAGATTCCAGCTGACAGTCTCTCACGAATGCACACACATAGAGCAGAGGATGGAAGAGGAGGAGGAGGAAAAGGCTTTGGGTTTCAGACCGCCCCCCAACTTCCCTCCTCCCTGTGCGAGAAGTGGACGAGAGGGAAGGGTCTTTCTAAAGCTGCGGCCGAGGAAACGGAAGAGACGAAAAAGAGAGAAGTCGCCCCAAAGCCTTCATTTCTTTTGGTCGCTGCTGTTTGGAGACCAGCCTAGTGCCTCATGGGAAGAGGAGCATCAGGAGAGCACAAAGGCATGCCCCCCCAGCCACCACAGGTCAGGAAGAGATATTTGGAGTTCTTCAAGAGCTTCTATGGGGTTCTGAGAGTGCTGCAGATCCTACTGGGCGCCGGGCTGTGGGCCACCATCGCTGCCAACAAGTACGAAGGCGCCATCCACTTTGTGCTCTTCGTGGCTGTGCTCTTCTGGCTCCTGACGCTAGCGCTGTTTTTCCTCACGCTGCTGGGCAAGCAGGACCTGGTGCCCCTGGTGGGGGGGGAGCGCTGGCTGGTCACCAACGCGCTGCACGATCTGGTGGCCACTCTGCTCTACCTGGCCGCCATTGGAATCATGATCTCCAAGACGCAGGAGAAGACGTTCTGCACGCTGGAACACTACCAGCACTCCTGTCCTTATTGGGTGTACCTCACCGCCTCCGTCTTCTGCTGCCTGTGTGCTGCCGCTTATCTGCTGTCAGCCGTCTACGGCTGGTGCAGGAAGTGCCTGGGCGAGCAGACTGTGGTCTGAACTCCTGAATCAAGCACACAGGATGGGGGGAGGGGTGCCGCTGGCCAACTCTGAAAACCTGACACGAATGAAGGGACGGAAAGAAGACATTGTGTGTAGCCTTTCACAGCTGGCCTCTGGAGACAGGGGAGAGCAGATCTTTGCAGGGCAGACTTTACAGGTTAGTTGGCACTTCTGTAATATTTAAAGACATGTACATTAATAGCACATGCATTTCATACAAGTTTTATTTTATGTCTTTATTTTTGTTGTTTTTTTTTTCTTTTTGCTTACACTGCGAATTATACAATACTTTTAGAAGGATTGTTAAAAAGTAATTAGCTACTAAACCTGAAACGATGGCCATGTAAGAACAAAGTGAGTTTGTCTGTCTTGTCAGCTGACCATCCTCATCTTGTGTTGGTTTTCTAACTCAAGGTGAGCTCATGGCCCCAGAGGGTGATGTCATCATTTTGTAAATGTTTGTCTGACTGTGTTTATGAGGAGAAATAGCACCCTTGTAACCCTAATCATGAAAAAACACTATGCTTTGTTGGATGTGTCAGTGGTTATTTTGTATTTAAGAGTGTTTTCTAATGTAAACGTAGGACAAGTATTACAATAAAATACGTTACTGCACTTATGCTGCCTTCTGACTTTTTGCTGTAGTATTTTTCCATCAGCAGAATCGGTAAATGCAGAGCGTGTCTGGACAATGTCCTGGGCAGAAACATGTGGAGAACATGGTCCTTAAATTATCCCCTTCACATTTGGCACTGTCAGGCTGCATACTGGTCCCACATCCTCTAGAGGGCACTTCTCACTGCTTCAGACCAAGGGTCAAAGCAAAGTGTTCTGTTGGAACATGACATGTGTGAATACTGCATCCTCTCAATACAGAATTTTAGGAGGAATATCTCTTCTCTGCGTATGAAGCATGGCAAAGCGGCCTGGCTCCCCAGCTGTGGACACCACCTTGTCCCATTACAACCACCTCAGTACACCCAAGAACAGCTTCTGGACTCCCTGCAGACCTCTGTGGCACCTTAAACCTGTCATTTCAGGCCCCAAATGGGTCTGTTAAGCTAATGTTCAACAGACGCATCACATGTACATAGATTAAACATTTTTGAGGTGCAGTTTTTCCTCAGAGAAATTATAAAGATCACTTTACACAGCTGATGATTTTGAATTTGCCAGTATTTGATGTCGTGTAAATGTGTGTATAATAAACATCATGTAAATGTGTGTATAATATCTGCCTCTGAACAAAAATATCCACCTGCAATGTTAAGGCCATTTTTGTAACCCCTGAAAAAACAGGAATGTCATTTCACAAACTGCATCCTATATGGCCTTGTGTTTAATGTAGTTCCAGTTTACAGAATAGTGATCATAAGATGTCCCCTGGCTCCCAAAGAGAGCCACAGTCAGGTAGTGCCGGTGTCCCTTCTCTTGTCGTTGGCTGTCGCTACCCGGCAGCATGGTCCTGCCCATTTCTCACTGGACATTTCTGGCTCTTGATGTCCAATGCCTTCTGTCAGTTCATGGGAGTTTTACTTGCACAGAAATATTCTGAGGACAGAAGGAGAAATGATTGGTCCAGAGAGATAATCAATTAGATTGTAGGGGAATTGGGTCCAAACAACTGGAGGAGATGGGACCAACCAATAAGATAACTTGGGCCTGCCTCCTCTAGTTGCTTAGACCCAAATCCTCTACAATCTGATTGGTTAGCTCTCGGAACCAATAATTTTTCGTTCCTCCCTCAGAACATTTTTGTGTTAGTAAAACTCCTGCAAGCCATCTGTCAACATCAATGTGTGAGATGCTGTCTAGCAGTCTTTGGGGCCCACTGATGACACAAACCTGCTCGTCAGTCACATATAGTGTTCCATCTATGGTATTTGCTGGTTAAAATGGCTTGCCTGTTTTTGAGTTGATATTCAGTGCGATTCTTATGGTTTTCCAAGAAGCTATTGGAGCCACATTTGGAAGGGACCAAAATAAGTTAACTGCATACCGTTGTAATGACGTTACTAAGCAACATGATGGGAGATTTCAGCATGTCTTCAGGGCTTTGCAGAAAGCTGGAGAAAATTGTAGGGTGGAGCATCAGCAGAATGATAAGGACTCAGGGAGCGCTGCAGAAAGGACAGAAATTCACTGGGCAAACAGTTGATGGGCCCTGGTTTGGTGGCATTGCTGCATTCCTAAACATTTCCTGCTAATAAAGCACAGGGCTGAAAACAGTTTTTCACTATGCAGGCCCTCTGACACCATGACGGCAATCTCTGTGAATGAATAAAGTCTGTGTTTCCACAGGAGTGATTCAGAAACTCAGAATGATCCATGAGGACATGGAAACCATAAATCATTTAAAAAAATGTTTGAATGAAGGATTTATTAAAACTGGCTGAGGAATACGCATATTTTAAGGCCTTATTGGACACATGATGCATGTGTTTGTATGTGTGGATCTTATGGGAGAATGCTTTATGTCATCTCTATCCAAATAAAATCACATATGTGGACTTTTTAATGATTGTGACTTTTAACTATAGATGGAATATGCCCATTCACCTCTGTCTACTGATAGAATTTGGCATATAATTGACCAAAGTGACCAAGATGTTTTAAGAAATCTTCTGTTTAACTAGTTTATTTATATTTGTAATGGTTAACATTTGTATTCATCCATCCATTTTCTGTAATCATTTTCCTGATAACAATACTGTACACAAACATTCCTCATCGATAGAATAATACAAAAATTCACAAGCTTCCTATGCGTGTATAATGTCAATATATTAATAGCAGGACCAATCCTAGTCAATGTGGCAGCATAATCACCTGTCCTATT